TGCGTTCTTAATATATTCACTCTGTTTTCAGTGATGTTAAGTCAAAAAACTGGTTTCTTGTTTTTCGTTTGATGTCCTGGCTGGTTCCAGTGGACCCCGAGCACAGCGTTAATCTTTGTTCTACTTATTCCCACAGTCGGTTGATAGAGACTGTGATGTCTGGAAATGGAGAAGTTATTATACTAATGGTGATGCTTGTTTTATTCAACAGTACGCTGGCAGACTTCCTCTTCTTCTTCCTCTTCTTCTTCCTCTTCCTCTCAGTATTTGATTCATTACCCTCATCGCACCTTATCGGTCTCATCCTTCTCTGTGTTCGGTCTGGAGCAGCTGAAAACTAATGTCATCTTCGCTTTAACATCCATCATCCTTTACGCCAAAGATTAAAACGACACTCAGCAGCATTAGCAACCATATTAGCCAGATTATTACTGAGTCTGTTTTAATGGAGCGTATCTCCACTGACGGACTCAAGGTTGGAAAGTCTTTCTTTCCAGACATCCCCCAAGTTCCTCTCTCCTCCTGAACGTGTTTTTCCTGCAGCATCCTGCTATTTGCGGAGCTGCAACATGTCAGTGATTGCACAGCTCTGCCTCCATGAATGTCAGCGCTCTCTCCGTGAATGTCACAGACTGAATAAATGCTCCACCGTCGCTCACATAATAAGTTAATGAGATAATAGCACTTGTCTCTGAGAGGTGTGCTGAAGGGTGCTGACAATGGGGGGGGGGGGGAAAGAAAAATGGCACTCCCCCGTCTGTTGGAGTAATAACAAAAGAAAAAAGGTCAAGGAGAGACGAACAAAAGAAACAAAGCGGCAGAGAAATTGGATTTGTGCTCCGCAGGTGCGTCGATGCTGTTTCAGATGAATTCTGCTTCTTATCGTGTCTTGTTCTTTTTCAGTTTCCTTTTCCTCCACATGATTTTTCTCTCTCGCTCCACCGTCTCACCACTGTCTCACCACTGGTCCTTTTCCTGCAGGGCAGACGAGTCACACTTCAACACTGTCGCACAGGTTCTCTGGTTCTGAGGGTTGACGCATCGTGACCGTGGCCAAATTTAGATCTGGATTTTGTTGGGTGACAGTGTTTCAGCCTCTGGATGAGTAGGAGTTTTTCAACTGGTTCCTTAAAGCCTCCAAAAAAAAACGATTCATAGAAAACGTTGTTACTTTTCATTCTTGTTGTGGAAGCAGTTTATTTTGGGAGTTGAGCATATCTTTCTTTAAATGGATCTAAAGTTCCACCACAAGACAAGTCAAGGCCCAACAGCCCCAAAATAAAACCACATTTAATTCAACTAGCACCACGTTTTATGTGGATCATCACCAAACATTACACAAATATCAGTTCCCCCTAATACTGTGTGCCTGATCCATGAATTACTACCTGGGGAAAAGATTCCCTGTCGAGATCTGCACCACAATTTAATGGCTTCTGTCTTTACCCATATCTCATCCTTCCACCAAGTTTCGTGGAAACCGACCAATAAATCAATCAATCAATCAACCAACCAACCAGCAACCGACAGTCTACCAGATGGACGGGGTGAAAACCTCCTTGGCAGAGCTAACGGGAACAGCAGCTTGATATTTATGGGTTTAAGGGAAACCAATTGGAAGAGATTGCAGCAGCAACAAGAGAGTATTGGTTGCTGAGCCCTTTGGCAATAACCAGAAAACATACAAATAAAATACGTCCATATCTGCAACTCACTGACCTGTAGCGAGAGCAGAGTTCAGCGTGAAGCCACATTTTGGCAGCAGGACGATCTGACTCCCAGCAAATGTGTAATGTGATGTCGAATGCACTGCAGCCGTTCAGTTCAGAGGTCTGTGTCGTTCCAGTCGTGAGTCCAATGACTGATAATCCAACAAACGCCTCTGAGCTCCTGTCTGGTTACTACACAACTGTTTCTGATATTTGTATTGTGCCACACAAATGTCCCTTTGGATAGATTAGTATTTACGTTGGTGGTTTTAAAACTAAGATTTATACCTTTAAACATCTTATCAGGGATTTCCTCTGCTCTGTCACAGTGTTTGTTTATTTAGAGTTTGCTGTGTGTTGGCCAGGTTGAAAGACAGTCGTGACCCTTTAGCTGGTTAAGTACGGAACCATCACACACGTCTGACGCTCCTCCCCGAAGCTTGTTTTGTGCTTTTATCCCCCTCCACACAATGCATGCTGGGACATGCCCCAGCTCCACTGACAGAAGAAGTAGTGGTCTAAGAAAATCAATGAATGAATAAAAGGGGTCTGTAAATGAAGCGTCAGACAAGCAGATGGGAGGATGTGGTTAAAGAAATGAAGAATCACATGAGACGAGGGGTCCTGCCAGGACGGCACATGGACGGCACATCCGTCATCCCCTTGTTAGCATTTTTGGCAACACGCACACACAACACACACACAGCTTGCTGGGCCAGATGGCCTCTTGGTGAGGAGCAGTGAGAAGCTCCACAGAAGGGTTGGTTTGATTTGTGAACCATGACCTCCTCCACGTCCCTCCTCCTGACTCCGGACAGCGGAGATGGACAGGGATAGGATCAGTGTGTGTGTGTGTGTGTGTAGTGTAGTGTGGGGGTGGAGTGGTTATTGTGGAGATGTGGAAAGGAGATTATACTTTCAGTTCATTGACGTACAGTTGGAAATTTGATTTCACATACAACTACAGGACTGATAAAATGATTTTAGATGCACTCATGCAGAGTGAATTTAACATTACTCAATGTTTTATTGATTATCATTTATTGGTAATACACTTTTAACTGATTGGTGCATTTCAGTAATAATTACCGGGTGATTTTAGTTTTCTTTCAGTTGCGCTATAGTCAAGATGAATTAGCTTTATTTCTATTGTTTAAAATCAAGAATTTGAAGAAACAGCAGAAATAAAGGCAGAAACCTCAGGAAGGGTGAGAGCGATTCTCCTCTCAGAACATTAAACATTGAGTAGATGCTAAAAATAAACTTGTCATTCTTTATTTGGTGTTCGGTGCAAAGTGTGTGGCTGATTCTTGTAAAGCGTCACGATTCACGACCAGAAGCTGAGTTTAGAATCACATCATGAATCTGACCTTTGCACCTCGTAGCGAATACAGCTGTTATTTATGATTTCTGCTCACAAAAAAGAGGTACGCCCCCTTTCATATCCCCTTCTGGCTGTGTGTGTGTGTGTCTGTGTCTGTGTCTGTATGTGTGCGTGTGCATTCATAATGTATTCATAAAGACCACCATCCAGAAAAAGGGAAGCAGGTGGGAAATGTGAGCGTGGCGACAGCAGAACAGATTCATCACAGCTTGGCATGTGTTTAACAGTGTGTGTTTCCTTTGTCCTGGTTTACACACACACACACACACACACACACACACATTCTACATCACATATTTTTACATTTTCTTATTCGGCTTAATTTTATATCTATGTATAATAATGAAGATATTCTTCAGTACAAACTCTCACCCATATTTTCTATTGATCCATTATTAATCTCTTTGTCTATAAATATATATTTACACATACACGTACATGCATTTCTGTTCTCGGCCGGAGTAACTAACAAAACAAAAAGTATTTCTGATCTGATTCCTGAAATGCAAAATACAACTGAGACAAATCCCATGTCTCCAATTACATCACAGGTGGAATAATACTTCTGAGTCAAGGTGCAGGTAGACGTACAGTGTTTTTATAGTTTATTAGTTAATACTTCTATTAATAGTAGAACATGCAAGTGTGGTCCTGTGACTGTTAGTGGCTCAGACGAGGCCTTTCTAACATGCAGACGAGCTGCAGGGGTTAAACATGTTAATTAACCCATGTTTGTAGTTTGCTCAGCTTTAACCGGATGGCGTCAGTATTTCATTCACGCTCGCTGCTGCAGGACGGAGATAAACCCAACATCAGCTGCCTCTTCACCCTCACAAGCAAAAAAAAAAAATCACTCAACAGACACACGGAAAAAATAAACCGTCGCATTAACCGGAGCTGCTGTGAAATTCTGCATCGCTCGCGTTTAATTTCTGAAAACAAAGTACCGGACAGGATGAGATTATAATGTGGTCAATCAAATTAAACGCTGGTCTCCTCGCGCAGGTTATTACCGTCACATGACATCAGGCAGAAGATGCAAACAGCTGTTGACCTTTACAATATTTTACATGATGGATTCATGTTCGCTGTAAAGCTGTTAAATGGAAATTTTGAAAACTGAGTGGAGAGCAAACAGAGACAGATTACTGAGGGTGAGAGAGCATCAAACACGTCAGTCCTCAGATTTGAGAACAAGCTGACAAAAGGATCATTTATAGAGTTTATAATGAAGTAATTTATAATTACTTTTGATAAGTCAGGTTTTGGACACAAGCTCAACACAGAGACACAAATGAAAAGTTGAATAAGTTTTATTTAAAGGTCAAAGGCAGGTTAACGTAAAAACTTGGATGAGGGGTGGAAACATTAATCCATCAAAGGAACAGGTGAAAGGTAAAATCCAGTCCATTAAAAAAAACTGACTTGAAAAACAGGAGGGGCCGTTGAACTGCCACGAAGAATCGAGGAGCTGAAATCACAAGAGGGTTTTTAAATCATAGCAAAACAGTTAGAAAATTAAAAACACTAATCAAGGTAGAAATAGATTTTTATCTCTGTCCCTGACATCAGGAGTCTAAACGTTATTGGATTAGTTGTTTTATAATCATTCATTTCCTTTTTTTTTTTGCCTTTAGTCTAATCTAGATCAGATTTTAAAATGAAATTAAAAAAACTTAATCCCTGTCATTAAGACAATGCAGCGTTTCGGCCGATGAGAGGAGGCACCAGTTAATTTGCTTCAGGCTGGGATCAGTAATCTGAGCATCTAGGGATGAATGATTACATAACTGACGTAATGGGACAATGATGTTTTACAGGTTTCACTGGGTTTTATTTCGATGACATCAGTGGCTGTAAAACACAAACGTTAATATAACTCTGGTTTGTTTGTTTTGTCGTTGCAGTGTCAGATCTCTCAGGCCCTGAACGGAGTCTCTGACAAAGCTAAAGATGCAAAGGAGTTCCTGGTCCAGCTGAAGAACATGCTCCAGCAGATCCAGGTACAGTTCTGACGATGATTATTAAATAGTTCAATAGTAAATGATCTATTCTAACCTCACAGACTCTTTTCATTGACATTGTTATTGATGAGGTGGCGACTAGAGATTCAGGTGTTACAGATATTCGAGGTCCATTCAGGGAGGAGGTCGTTAGAGCCTTTGTTTCTGGAAGGGCAAACATCTCCAACAAAGAGTTCAACACAAAGTTTTACAAATGAATCAAACGCACAAAACAAGAGCAGTATCACAACAAGAGGCAGAGTGAAGCTGTGAAAGCACAAATGAAAAGCTCGACCAGTTCCCCTCAGATTTTCTCTGGTTCTCCAGGAGCACAGGGAGAAATGGGTCTGGATGAGGAGACGGATATCCATGACTGATCGGTTTCCTAAACACGTAGAGGTCTTTACATAATTTAAGTTGTGTGTGTGTGTGTGTTTGTGTGTGTGTGTTCCCTGTGGACAGCATTGCTGTGCAGCTGATCTCTCCCACAGCATCTGCCAGTCATGCACACAAACACACCAACACAGTCTGCTCCGTCATATCGAGCAGGCATCCAGGGTCTGATTGTAAATAAAGTGGACTACGTTAAAAAATAAAGACTGTTAGCGTCACTTTGCTCAGAGAGCAGCGAGAGATTGGAAGGATAAAGAGAAAGAGAAGTGTGGGAGTGGGGGAATAAAAAAAATCTTCATCCTCTTAGAGATCCGTCCCTCAGCGGAGGAGGCTTGATTGGAAATCACTCCCATCTAAGACTCTTCATCTCTTCATCATGTGGACTCGGATAAAACGTCCCCGTGTGGATCCTGAACTTCCAGATACTGCTCCTGGGGTTTCCTCACAATCCGTGGCTGCACCCACACCGCTGCTGCAATTTGGTTTTAAAGTGCTTCCTCCTTGCTTCACGTTTACTGTCCACACTACTCTGGAGTTTTCAAGCCACTAAAACAGAGACGTTCGCCCAGTTTTAGTCTGTGGACGCAAACTGGAACGTTCCTGATCGCTTCCCCTCAGTCACGACTTAAAGAAATCCCTCGCTGAGGATCACACGACATATACGTTTTTATGTGTTTGACCATATACAGGGATTAAACAGTTGTGTGGACTTAAAGCTTTAACTTCTGACTCAACTTAACCCGAACTCCGAGGCCCCAAAACTCATAAATGATGTTTAAGATATTTTATCTGTAAAATGTACGTTGCGTTGCACGTTAAATTTTTTCTGTAGAACAAGATAGAAATAAAACTGTCAGCTCAGAGGACAAAGTGCACGCATACGCATGTCCCCCAAGCAGATCGAGGGTCTGGAACCAAAACCAAACAAGGTCGAGAGTACGGCCCAAGACAAAGACCAGATCGGACAATAGACTAAAAGTCTCAAGGAGACGAACCATGTTGTGAAACACATTTCTAAAGTAACGAGGGGAATATGATTTCCACCCAAACACCAGGGGCCTGTTGAAATGCAGACGGAGTCAAAGAGCAGCTGGAATCTCCCGCTATCACAGAGCGACTGTCGGGGATTAACCGTCTGCTCTATATGTCTCTGTGCAAATGAAATATGTCAGCCCGTAATTCTTAAGCCTGTGGTAGAGATCATAAAAGATGACCTAGAGCGCCATCATTCAACCTCAACACATCCTCAGCACATCACAGGTAACAGGGACGCAGTAAATCATCTTTACGTACACTTACAGGTGCTATCAACATTTATTCTTAATATCTGATTCAATATTTGAAACAATATTAATGCCCCTTCACGTTTCTTTTCACCTTTTAACATTAGATTGTAAATTCAACAACACAAACCTGTAGCCTGCAGCTGTTTACTTGATTACAGCAATAAAACAACAGCGATAAAAGAAAACATTAGAATTATTTTCCTCTGAGCTCTGCACTTTAGAAGTTTTAGTATTTAAAGCACATTTCTGACTGTCTGGACTGAATAAAAATTAAAAATATCAGTTGACAAATGTGTTTTTTATGTCGTAACAATAATAATTCACATTTTATTCTAACGTCTGTGCAGTCGAGACAAAAATAGATCAAGATAAATTAACATATCAGCAAAAAAACACAGATCGGCTCGGTGCTGCTAAATGAAGCCGACGACACCAGGTCTATTTTAAGACGCCGGTGATTTAACTGTCAGAGTCAGCGGGAAACTGATTATGAGCATTTCACAGTTTTGGTTTGCAATGCTTCTTCCTGCAGGAGGGCGGCGTCGAGTTCGAGGCTTGTCTCGTGGCTCAGTGCGACTCGCTGATCGAGGCGCTGACCAGACAAAAAGCCAAACTGCTCACCAAGGTCACCAAGGAGAAGGAGTACAAGCTGAAGGTGAGGCTGTGTGTGTGTGTGTGTGTAAGTGTGTGGATCCAGATAAGAATCAAGTTAAAGTCATAAAATCTAAAACGATATAAAACTTGTTAAACTGGTTTTCTGATAAGCATCACGTCCATCAGAAAAACATTTTCACCCACTAGGAATATTTTTCTCCTGATCATTTCATATGTGTAACAATAAATTAAGAGAGAATCATGTTAGAAATAAACATTAGTCACAAATCAATCAACATCAGCTCTCAAATACTTTTCAATTCAAACACAAACAGACAAAACAAATACTTTCCTTTGTGAATCCACCACTGGGAGAGGGGGGGGGGGTTTCTTAAGTCCCAGCGTGTCACATGGACTCGTGCCCGCCTCAACGTGCCCACTGACGGACCGACCGTCTGGATGTTGAGTTGGTGGTGGTGGTGGTGGTGGGGGGGGGTGTTTGGACGGATGCCCCAAGGACAGCTGTTGTCATTATCTGCCCGGGCCGGGGATTGAGACTTAGCCGGAGGGCAAAGAGCTGCAGCACTGAGACGAAGCTGCAGCGAGAGAGAGAGAATAAAGGGTTGGCCGACAAACTCAACGACATCTTCATACCCATCAATATTCATTTAGTCAGAGACGTAAACACGTGGTCGAATCATTTCACTGCAGGATCGGAGGGAGAGCAGCTAAAGACAATCTTTCATCCATGCGGACAGATGTTTTTTTTTTTACATTCAAGACCAGATGTGCACGTTTATTGTTGCTTTGCATTATAGACACAACATCTACACACTCAACAGGCGTTCAACAACATCACATACAAATGGATCTGTAGTTATTTAATAGAAAACTTCATGTGAACCATCTTCATATCCTCTGTGTGTGTGTGTGTGTGTGTGTGTGTGTGTGTGAACTCGGCCTTTAACCTCTTTGTTTTTAAAGCACTCACAAGGCTTTCATTCTGTTTTTGTAGATAAAGCTCTGACCAGACCCAACGTGCACAACAAAAAAAATCAAATGAAAGACTGTTTACACGACAAGAAAGGCAGCTGTTTCCAAAATTCACCAAAGCCGGAGCGTAATCCCTTAAAAGCAGCATATTCTGGTTTCCTCTTTCAAAGAACATCCAAAATTACTCGTCGTGTTTGTGTCTGTGATTCACGAGGCAGCAACAGACATCAGCGGTTTCAGTTTGTGTATAAACCGTCAGTAAAGTTTAAATGCAGCAGTATTTTAATAGGTTGGTTTGAATGAACTAAATGTTGAGATGCTGAAAGTGAAATGTTTTGCAGGTTTTTCCCCCCATTTCATTATCACACGGAGCACAAAGAAAACACAGCAAATAAAGCAATGGTGTTGCTGAACAAATATAAATAGAGGACGTTCAATGACCTGGATTCAATTGAGACGACACCAGCAGAGGCAGTTCAGGGATTTATTCTGATACTTCAACATTAAGGCTCTAAGAGGAATCTGGAGTCAGAGTGAATAAAGAACACAGAAACATCACGAGGATACAAAAACTGACCTGACGAGGCTGAGCTGAGCAGACGAGAGGACGCTGAGGACGGGTCAGAGCACAGAGACTGAACAAACAGGGAGGCAGAGACAAGTGGACACAGGTGAAACACATGAGGATGAGTGCAGACAATCACAAGAGCCGGAGACAGGAGGGAGACTCAGGACATGGCCGAGTAAGAGACAGACGAGGAAAAAGTGGCTTCACAATAAAACAGGAAACGAGACGACGCAAGGGACATAATAATAATAATATAACATATGTCAAAGTCCACAGGGAAATAACAGAAGTCGACCTTTGACCCATCAACTCTATCGAGTGTGATCAAACATGTTTCGGAGCAGCAGAGCAGTTTATATTGTGGTAGAGGTCATCCAGCTGCTGACGGATGAAGATGCAGATGTGTGTCTGAGTGAATCTGTAATTGGGATTAACGTTTATCCAATCAATCCGTCATTTACTTTACATATTTTGTGATTTCTGCTTAACTGATGCCTTTAAATTATTTTATTTTTTTCATGCTGCACCATTCTGTGTCGAGGACTGTGTGAGGTCACGCTCCAAAAAACTGCCAGAAATAAGAAATATCCACCCAAAACTGTTTCTCTAATGTGAAGTGAAATGTGCTGCAGAGTGTGATGTGGAGCCAGTGAGTCACGTCGGGAGTGAGCCTGTGGTATCTCAGATCTGAGCTCGCATTAACATGCTCCAGTATTCGCACCCTCGACGTTTCATCCCGGATGGAAGTGGAACGTAATGGAAAAGCCCTGGAACCGGGAGGGAGGGAGGGAGGGAGGGAGGGAGGTGACGGCCAGTCTCAGCGGGACAGAGGGAAATTGAAATAAATCTGAGATTTACTCGGTCTTCACGCCTCGTGCTGTTTACACAGGAGATGAACGCCGCAGGGTTTTGGCCGAACTCGATTGAAAAGCAGTTTTTTCTCTTGGTAAATAGTTTGAGTGTCAAACTGCGGGAAAAATACACACAGCATCAAAAATACATAATCTGATATTATCTTCCTCTTTATTGACCTTTCATTGACCTGCAGTTTGTTTGTTCCTCAATCCCCGAACAGAACCAAGCTTTAAAACCAACCTTCTCATAAATACATACACATTTAAAATGTCTGACACACACACACACACACAGAGCTTGTCATATTTCAGGTTTCACAGCAGTTGGCAGGTGGATAATTAACTCTGATCTAATTAACCATCGAATAAACGAGGGAACTAATCACAGAGACTGCGACTGATTAACTCTCTCCTTCATTAGGATTTTAGTCGGACATTATTTAACGCTTTAATTGAATTAGCTTGGATTCAACTACTCTTGAACAATCAGCTAAAAACTTTCGATGAGAAAATACAAATCTGATTTGTGTCTTTGTCAGGTGGTGCGTGACCAGATCACCCACTGCACCATGAAGCTCCGTCAGACCACAGGGATGATGGAGTTCTGTCTGGAGGTGCTGAAGGAGAACGACCCCAGTGGATTCCTGCAGGTACGTGTGTGTTTAACCTCCAGTGGATCTTCATTCACGTTCTCCGGCACAGAGGAATGAAAAATATTAAACCGCGGCTGAATGAATTCGCTTTTTCGTCTCTTTATGGAAATTACGGAACACCGTGAAACAAAAGAGTCGCTGTCCCTTTTTAAAACAGCTTTAATTTAAGTTTCTGAGATTATAGACGAGGCAAAACTCAGTATGGGGTCTCACAGCAACTTTTTCTGAAGTATTTACAACCAAAAAATGTAAATGTGGAGGTTGAAAGGAAGGAAGGAAGGAAGGAGGGGGAGGGGGTACTTAGTTCCTTCGAGCTCGTGAGCAGACAGACACTTTGCAGGGAGCCTCTGATGTTTCTGAAGCCAGCGCAGGGAAAAATAAAAAAAATCTCTGAAAAGTCAGAAGAGGAAAACTTCAGAGCTGCTGCGAGAGAAACAATAAGTCAGAGCGGCACATGTGATTCACTTTAAAGGAGACAGAGCTGCTCATATTCTACTTCACGATTTTTATTGATGAGGAGAAGAAGATCGATAGACGATCATTAGTTCTTGATTTTATTGTTTAGGACAAACAGAGAAAGGTCAAGTGAAGGTTTGACCCTAGCGTTGTGTTTAGGGACCTTGAGATGTTGGGACTTTTCTAACACGTTCACGCTTCATGAAAAATCCCAATCCAGTCTATTTAAATTCCAGCTATTGGATTTTTAAACGTCTAAGGACCTAAACAGAAGTATCAGGACGACGTGATCACATTCTGACAATATTTGTAAAAGTATACATTCGTCCCATAGGTTGTTTATAAAGATGGACGACAGAGGTTTTGGCTTCATTTCTGAATAGTGGGAGGAAGTGGAGACGAGTCGTCCATCTTTAGATTAAGACTTTGTTCATACATATAGCAGCTTTATGTGATTTCTATACTGTCACCTCCATTAAAATAACAAGGACACTTGACACTTCTACACATATCAGGAAAGAAATGTTCATTTTGCAATTACAATTAAAGAGTAAAAGAGTTTTGGAAAGAAGAATGGGGGGGATCAAACCACCGACTCTCTGGTCAGGGGACGACCCGCACTACCTCCTGAGCCACAGCTGCCCCAAACTTCTCCAACCAATCAGTTACGCGCACAGTATGTTGTGTTCCTGCTTCTGCTCATGAATGATTTCTGATCCTGTAGAGGAGCGAGACGGAGAGAGGTGAAGGGAGAGAGAATATGGAGATCAAAGATTCTCCCGAGGGACACACACACACACACGCACGCACACACACACACACACACACACACACACACCTCTCTCTTCTATTTCATCTGAATATTTAATAAAGTATTGATCATGTGGTTCCATATTGCCGACGCCTACATCACAGCCGGCTGTTAAAGGTTGAATATTCAGGAACTTTTGTGAATCTAAAGAAATGAATCTAAATGAAACAATCTGTTTTTGTTAATGCTCGCGGCTGAATTTCCAAACCTGCAGCCTCGTGTTTTGCCTTTTTAATAAAATAGCAATCTCCCTTTTCTGCGGTTGGACGTGGTTTAATGTAATGTATTCGTTTAGTTTCCTTTTCCTGGGGCGGCGCAGCTCTTAGCAGCAGATGAGGGGGGTCTTAATTCCTTTCCTTAAATATTTGAACTGCACTAATGCTCGCCTCATTTCACTTGTCAGAGACAATGTAATGAAGCTGCGGCTGGAACAGATCCCAGAGCAGTGGAGCTGTTCTGTATGCAGCGAGGGTATCGCAGCCCTGCGAGTGTATTTAAATGTGGACAGCGAAAGCATGTGCTCTAATTTCCTGTGTGTGTGTAAACACGTCTTTTCCTCTGCTAATTCCCCCTCACTATGTGTGTGTGTGTGTGTGTGTGCAGATCTCAGACCCCCTGATCAAGCGGGTGACATCGTCTCAGGACCAATGGGTCAAAGGGGCCCTGGAGCCAAAAGTTGGCCCCGAGTTCGACCTCACCCTCAACACCGACTCGCTGATGCAGACCATCCTGCAGCTGGACTTCTGCCAGGGCAAAGGTAAACAAAGCGAACACTCTCACAGGTATTTGCCCACAGGATCAGTTTATCACGAGCAAACACGCCTTTTAATTCTTATTCCGTAAACCTCTGTGTACGAGCACTGAGGAGAACATTTAAAAAGCAGGGCTCGAGAATTGTGTCTCACAAGACGCAGAAAAAGGTCAGAATCAATGCAGCTGAAGTCGAGAGCGGATCCAACATTTCCCATCGTGCAAACTCAATAGTGTCCATACGCTGCAGACTTTAGTACAGTCAATATTACATGCGCTGTCACTTGCTTATGCAGAGCTATAAATATAAATGTGGAGATCTTCTCCACGCTCATCACCACGTATGAAGAGCCAGTGTGTTTCAAATCCCTGGTGAAGTCTCAAACAGAGCCGTCACACGTGTGCACCGGAGGCTCCGATGGAATTCACTTTGATTTACGTTGTGCGCTGCCAAACTGCATTATGGTTCTTTTGCTTGGCTTCACTCGATCTGTGTGTTTTAGCAAAATTGCCTTTTGAGGTTAGATCATGTTTGTGTATATTGAATATCGGTGATGCTCAGGGTTATTGCTAAAGGTTAGGGAGTGTGTTTGTGTCCGTGAAATATAATTCTTTGTGTATAAAACTGAGGAGAGAGAGAAAATGAAAAAACATTGATTTTTGTTCCACTTTCATTTTCATACAGGATTAAAAATAAAGAAAGTTTAAAGAAGGATAAAACCTCCAGGTGACGCTATAGATCGTTTACAGCAAAGATGAGGATGAGATCTTTTCCCTTTATTGATGTGGCAGGTAAAATATGAAGAAGTGTTTTCATAGGCTGAGCACCCGTGACGATGAGTAACCATGACGAGAAACAAGCTTCGACACACACAAACATCCTGCGCATATAAATAAAAAAACAGCCTCTGAAGATAAACTTGATTACCAATAAACATTCAGTCGCTCTCACTCTCTCTCGCTCTCACTCTTCCTTTACGAGGTTTTCATTACAGCGGAGTACACAACTGATTAGCTATTCATTCATTGGCCGCATTCTTTGCATGAGTAAACACAGCGTCCTTTATTTTCATTCCGCTGCAGTCCCACAGATTACCCAGATGCATTGTCAATGTACATTAAATATGTAATCAGCCCCATGCATATTTTATTCCCATAATGCTCCACTGAGGACAAGACGAGTTGTTTTCATGTGCTGGTGTGGATTCAACCTTTAGTTCACTTTTCTAAAAGACGATGTTGCTCATTATGAGTATATTGTTTTCTACACTTGTGTATTTAAAACGCCTGGTAATCTACTGCAGTTATCACAAATTCAATGAAGACACAAACAACACATGTGATGAAATCACATCCAGTTTAGTGCCGCGTCATTAATAACTCACGGGAGCGACTTCAAGTTAGGTTTTGAACTTCTAAGATATTTCCGAGGACCTCAAATTGTCAAATACAAAAATTAGTGAGTGAACAATGTGACCCAGATGTGCAGGTCACCTTCACTCTCCACGGATCATCCAGAACAAAGAGCTGCACGTAGGCCATTTGATTTTAGGTCTTAGAATTGAGTCTACATGAACATAAGAAGCCTGACTTCATTATTAAGATCCCATTTGTTCCTCAGGTCTTTCTCCTTTCTCATTCTTAATAACATATCTTTTTCTATTTGCTTCGGCCTCTCGTCCACATGCAAACAGCCAGGGTGAGGGTATTCAAAATGCTATATAATCAATGCAACCAGGGTTTCTGAATTGTCTGGAACTGATAATCTCTTCTCAAGGCTCCTGACTGACCATCGCGGCTTTGAGGTTTAAGTCACAGTGAGCGGAGAGCGGAAAAAAAAACCCTTTTCTCTTAACCACCATGACAAACTCTCACTGGTCTCACTGTCACTTCCAGATGCTCTTAATGCCGTCTTCTGTCCATGTGCTCTTGTATTGAAACACTCAAACCAACATCGTACTTCCAGATGTGCAGGAGAATCCATTATTGAAACAAATGCAGGCTGCAGACAGTGGTGAGGCTGAGACGGAGGCAGAGAGCCCCGGAGGTATTTCAGAGAATCTACATTTCTAAAGTGAACCTGTTTTCCTCCCCTGAATTGATTTCGTCACTCCCTCCTGCCCCCTCAGTCCCGCTGGCCCTCACAGACATTCTGGTCGGAAACTCATCGGTCTTTTTGTCCCCCAGCGTCTTTCTGGTCTCCTTCCTCTGCATGGTTATTATTGTCCAGCTCCTCTCCAGTGAATGGTACCTCTGCAAGGTTTTCCAAAAAAAAAAAACCTGGTTACAGACATGTGTAGCTTAAAGTTTTCGTTGTGTTCATTGTAATTAAAATGAGTAATGAATAATAATACATGTATTAATTATAAAGCAACACATTAAACATCACAATATAATCAAATATTATATTATGACAAAGCATTGAACCAAATTTATATTTCCTCACATGAATCAAAGAACTCCTTTGGCTACAAATGCTGTAAAGCGTATTGAAGATTGAAGATATTAACATTAATCGATGTGTGGACTGCATAGATCCTACGACACTGTTCTTGTCCTGACTGCTGCCTGTCCCCTGTGTCGTCACTACCATTGTGTGGTTTTTTATTTTTGCTCGCGTCTTCAAAGATTCAACAAGTGTCCCTAAAGTCGTGATATGAAGCTGGTTTTATTTACGTCATATCTGTTTCAGCTCCTTTTGGAATTTAGCTTTGTCTCGTTTGTTTGGGGGGGTTTGAAAGATTTTACTGATTTAATCGAAAAAGCCTTTCATCCAACGCTGGTTCTTTCCTTTCTTCACTTTCCCAACCGGCAGAGAAGTCGTCCTAAATCGTTAAATCCCCATAAACGCATCCAGCGGTTCGTCCCTTAGTTGGGAGTTTATCTCAGGACAGTCTGAATCCCTCATTTTCAGCGATGAAAAGAAAACAACTGGCGCAAAACAGAAGCCAAGCTGCACTCAAATCATTTCTGCTGGAAGCTTTGGTTCTCACACCTTCTCCCACCGGCAGCACCACCTCTGTAGGGGGCGTAACGGCCTCACATGGCCCAGTTTAAGCCTCCACTGATTCCCAGCTGTTGCCCCGAACATGAACCCGCAGCTCGTTCCCCGTTACGTCTTGTTTCCCTCCACATTAAAGCTCCTGTTTCTGTTTTAACACAACCAGCCACACCCACGTCCCTCGGTTTCCTCCTCCTCATCCCTCCATCCTGCCGTCTCTCATCCCTCCCACGCATCTTCTTCACCATCTCCCACAATCCCCCCTCCCCCCCCAACGATCTCGATCTCCACGTCTCATCCATTCATTCATTCATCTCTCCTCCTCCTCCTCCTCCTCCACAGCTGAGTCTGGGCCCTCTGTGCCGGCGGCGCCGCTCCTGCAGCTGGAGAAGTGCTGCACCAGGAACAACAGCGCCACCTTGGCCTGGAGAGTGGCAGCACCCTCTGGAAGCCCCATCGAGGGCTACATCCTGGAGTTAGATGACGGCAACGGAGGACAGTACAGGGTCGGTGCAAAACGAATATTGGTTCTGAATACAAACCAGTTGTTTTCTTTAGCTTTGGAATTTTAAGAAAAATGACACTGATTCTCAAAAGGTTTTATGTAATTAAATATAAATGAAATTAAAGTCTTACACTGCCCAGATGGCATGTGTGCGTGTGTGTGTTTGTGTGCACGTGTGTGTAGTTAAACATACGTGTCAAGCTTTTTAATCGCTTGACCTACATTTGTAATTACTGTCACTTGTATATAGATGTTGAGTTTAAGCGGCAAAAACAAACGTTTCAGACCCTGCACTTAACCTGCATGTGTAATGATGCTGATGTGTGTGAGTGTGTGTGTGTGTGTGTGTCTCTCAGGAGGTTTATGTGGGGAAGGAGACTGTGTGCACGGTGGACGGCCTCCATTTTAACAGCTCCTACAACGCCAGGGTGAAGGCCTATAATGCCGTCGGTGTGGGACCGTACAGCAAGACCGTTGTTCTGAGGACCTCTGATGGTAGGTACTATCTTTGTGTGTGTGTGTGTGTGTGTGTGTGTGTGTGTGTGTGTGTGTGTGCCACATTGGGTCTGAGAGTCTCCAACACAAACAGACTCTGTCTTTGTCGTGATTCTCTTGTGATGGTCTTTGCAGAACAGGTTTCATCATATTATTGCTTTTGTTCTGCGGAACAATGACAAGCGTCTCAGGAGAGGAGAAACACGGTGTGCTTTGTATTCCAGGAGAGAGGCGTGAAAGAGAGATGAGGAGAAGAAGTAAAGAAAATGAAGGGAAAAGCGGGAGGAAGAGGAGAGAACGTGAAGGAGGGAAAGGGGAAGGGATGGAAAAGAGGAAAGCTGAGAAACAGATGAAAAAGGAAGCAGAGGAGAGGAAAGGAAGGAAAGAGAAAAGTAATACGGGTATAAGAGAGAAGAAGGGGGGATAGAGGAAAGAAGAAAAGAGTAAACAAGAACAACAACAAAGAGGAAAGAAGGAAAGAAAAGAAAGGAGAGAATAGGAAGGGGGGGAAATAAACAAGTCAAGACAAAATCACACACACACACACACACACACACACAACAATGGACATCACGGTCTGTTTTCCGACTGATAACCGTTCATCCCTCCGCCCTCTCTCTGTTCTCTCCCTCTTTCTTTTCCTCCTCTGTTCTCCCTCGTTCTGTGAGGATTGCAGCTTCCTGCTGCTTCACACGGAGACAAACACTTTACTTGTCAAACCAACAGGAGGCAAAACGCACAAAGAGAACGACAAGGGCTGGAAAACAAACAGTCGTAGAACAAAACAAACGTGTGTGTGTGTGTGTGTGTGTGTCTCATATCGTCCAAAACATGAAAATTAGAAACCCGCTGTCTAATGACTGTTGTTTTCTCTCATTGCAGTGGCCTGGTTCACCTTTGACCCCTCCTCGGCTCATCGGGACATAGTTCTGACCAACGAGAACCTGACGGTCTCCTGCAACAGCTACGATGACCGCGTGGTTCTGGGCACCGCTGCGTTCTCTAAGGTAAATGTCCACACACACACACACACAAACACATAAAGGTTTACATCACAGGTAATTGGCCTTGTTTATGCATGAATCTGGTTTATATCCCTCCGCACCGTCCTCTAGGAGGACGCAGGTGACTAACAGGGAAGTTTAATCCCGTTTATTCTGTTTCTCCTTGAATTCCAGGGCATCCACTACTGGGAGGTCAGCATCGATCGCTATGACAACCACCCGGACCCGGCGTTTGGCGTGGCGAGGATCAACACCATGAAAGACATGATGCTGGGGAAGGACGACAAGGCGTGGGCCATGTACGTGGACAACAACCGCTCCTGGTTCATGCACAACAACTCCCACACCAACAGGTACGTTTTTAACTTTGACGATTGTCTTGTTCTCATAATGTAAAAGAAAAAGGTCTGAGATGCTAAATGATTAATTCATCTTACATCTCTACCAAGTTGGATGGAAAGCGGTTTAGTGTTTTCCTGAAGCAAACCAACAAACATAATCTCCTCTGCGACGACAATAACTTATAAAATATATATATATATATAATATATAACAACTGTTGCTGAAACCAACGAGTTCATTAAAAGAAGTTTGCAGCTGAATGAAACCAATATTATTCTCATTTGTAGAATTTAAAAGTTGCATTTACTGATGTGTTATCGTGTTAATCAATAGATGAGCCTGTTAGTTCCAACTCGTAAACTTGAGCCTCATTAGAAAACTCATTCATCTTCTGAACTCATCCACAAACGGCACTTGTGTGTCAATAAAAACAGCAGGAGACGGAGACTTGGTGAGGTGGTACCCCCGTCCTCTGCATCAAACCTCACACATCTAAGAGGCACAAGGACACACACACACACACACACACACAAACACACAGTATAATGATGCATGCACTCGATGACAGGAGGACCCCCGAGGCTCCTACAATACCAACTAACAAACACACCAGGGAGCAGTAGTAGAAGAAGACTGGAGGCTGCTGGAGACATCAAAACATCTCTGTGTCACAGGGAAGCTATCAAACTCTCATTAAACATTTATTTACAAGCAGAGGTCTTTTTCTTTATAAGAGCAGAGTCGACTCTTCGCAAGAAAAACGTGAATTCTAACTTTATTTCTTTCCTCTCTCGACCTCGACTCTGCAGAGATGTTCAACATCTCACGGCTGCGTCACATGTCGGTTAACTCACATCGATTCCTACGTCTCGACCATGTCCCGAGGCAGACGACACATCTTGCACACATGGATCCCACGACATATTCTCCAGGTTCCTAGAACAAATCTTAATCTGTGTGTGTGTGTGTGTGTGTGTGTGTAGGGCGGAGGGAGGCATCGCTAAAGGCTCGACCGTGGGCGTCCTGCTGGATCTGACCAAACACACTCTGACTTTCTTCATCAACAAGGAGCAGCACGGGCCGACCGCCTTCGCTAACCTGGAGGGGGTCTTTGTGCCGGCGGTCAGCCTCAACAGAAACGTACAGGTCAGTGTGTAGTCACACGATTGTTTCACTCTTTAGCGAAGTCCTACATGTGCGACGCCGTGTCCCCGGCCTCGATGCAGTGATGTCATTGAGTGCTCGTCTGTTTCAGGTGACCTTACTGACGGGCCTGGAGGTGCCAAAGAATATCAAACAGTAGGAGCTCCCTCTTCTCTCTGAGCGTGCTCTGGATACAAACACACAGAGTCGTACGCAGCCTCAGTTCGCTCCCGCGTGGACGTTTCTTTTCCCGTCCAGCTGGGACTTAACTCCTCTCCCATCAAGGTGCCCTTTGTCTTGGGTAAACTTCAGCGTCGGATCCTTTGGGACAAAGGAATAAATCTAACTATTGGTTATAAATACAGTGATGGACGGTAACTACGACTGGATTTACTGTGGATTGTCACACTCTTTTCATATCCCACGGTTTTGCCTCCAGGACTCTGACGGCACGTGTGTTAATATTCTCGCTGCTATCATTCCAGTGATTTCCACAGAAAGGGAAACGGAGCCTGGAGTTTCTACTCGAGGCCGACCGACGTCTACACTGTGCAGTGAAATCATTTTGTACCGAACAAGGCATTGAAAGATGTACACGATGCACCACACACCGTTAGAACGTTGACACCATCATTTCTGAGGAATTCCAAAGCGACTTTCAGGAGATAAAAAAAAAATAAATAAGAGGGAGAATTGATTTAGCAGTTATTCTCTCTCAGGTGTGTTTACAGCTCAAACTAGACGATCTCTCCGAGTTAACGTTGCATTGTGGGTTGTTTTCGCTCGTGACAAATTTGAAAGCTAAACCCTCAGTGCGCACGTTTCGCCCCAGCTGCGGCTCCCGTGTTCTGTTTCTCATTATTGGTTGGAGTTTAATAAGAGCAGTGATTTGTTACCTGTGGGCAGGAACATGACAGACATTAGGAACTCACCGAGGTGAAGCTGGGAGGAGTTGGGCTTTGATTCATTTCCTTTTCCAGTCGGCTGTGTAACAGATCAATGGAGCCTGGGAGCAGCCTTTTAAAATGTCAGAATCTTCCATCTTAAATTCATTCTCATGCAGTTTTTTGGGGTCAAACTTTTGCAGACAATTAAGTTTTAATCGGGTTGAGTCAGAGTTTCTTGCGGTTTGATTTACCAGCTGCACTAAATGTAATTTAGTCGTTGAAAGTGGCCAAATATACTTTAATATTTATGAGGATTCTTTCAGTTTGCTTTCCTGCTGAGAGTTACATGAGATAAACACCTTTCTTGTATCTGTCCATTACACGTGAGGCTGCAGACAGCGCTGCTTGTTGCCTTAGCTTAGCATTAAGACTAATTAATTGTTTAAAATCAAGGAGCAAAATCCATTTTTATTATTATTATTGGCCTGGAGATTGTCTACAGCTGCTCCCGGGCTCTTCACACACAGAATCTGTCAGAAGCTGCTGAAATGAGACGGAAATGAGCCCAATCCCACATTTATTCCCTTTTCCGTCGTACGAGGCCAACACATAAAACGATGCAGATCACAAAGAAGAAAACTGTGGTTGTCTCATTGTAATTTAATTCTGTGCTCATCTGTGAGTCTCTCTGTCGAGCTTCAGACTCATCTAAATCCGTGGAAGTGATGTTGAGCGGTCACGTCAGGCTGAAGTGCTGCTACGTGTCTCACCAGGATTGGATCAGCGGCCGGAGAAGCTTTGAAATCCAACCACACCACTGTGACGAATGACATAATATTACTTTGACATGTGCACCCCTGTATATTATCATTTATCTCGATGCAGCAGAGAAATGGAAAGGTTCATTTTCAAATCTTAAAATATTTAACCCTGAATTTTATGATGATATTTAAATATTTATATTCCCTATGTGAGTGTGTGTGTGTGTGTGAGAATCCACAGACTGTAAATATTGAGTTATGATAACGACGTGTAACATGAAGCATGGATTAAGCATCGAACAAGTTTACACGAATATCTGAGGCTGTTTTGTAAATACTGAACAATATTATTGTCTTTGCACCGAGTGACGTTAAAGCCAACTGCTGCGGCAGCTCGCCCCCTGCTGTTCAACGGCGGCAACAACAGTATTCATGTGATTCTCGTCTCATAATCTTGTTCCATTTTAGCCAACTATGATTTATTATCTGTACTTTAGTTTTTTTTTAAAACATTTTGTCCGACGAGCCGTCAGAATATCTGCTCCATTTTGTACTGTAACTTTCATAATATTCAAACGTGCAATCAGGGACATTACATTTGCATTGTAAAGGTTTATGTTGTTAAATTATTATTATTATATCTTAAAATACCTTTTTATTCTGTGAAATTCCAATAAACCATATGACTGAAGAGAAATACAGTGCAACAGTAAACTACAGAAGGTTTTCTCACAGGAACCGATGACGTCTATTTTCAATACAACACCTATTTTCAAATAATTTAGGGATTAGTAAACTTCTAGAGGAGCAAACTGGAAATATCTGTACATTTTGTGCTTTTCTTCTATTTAATGAATGAACAACTAAAGAATAACGACTGAGCCTTTTTTAGGAAATGGGATTATATGAATTCAGCTGTTATCGTTTATCCTTAACTGTCTTTTTGCACCATTCAAATGACTGGGAAATATAATCAAGTGGCCGTCATCAATACGTGTCCAGTGTTCTCCAGCTGAGATTCAGTTAGGTAGTTCCCTCAGGAGTAGGTGGAGACCATAAATGGAGCTAAAATGCTAAAACAAAAAAAATCCACTTTCAGGTTGATTGAAAAAGCAAAACTGTTTTTTTTTCTTCTGCTTCCGAGCGAATCAAGCAGTAAATGCAGCTCTGACAAAACATTTCAGTCACAAGTTAATAAAAGTATGTAGATTTGTCTGCCCCCTGTAATAGCACCCTCTATTTTTCAATGTGTCGAGACTCAAGCGCTTCTCTAACCTCAATTTATTTACCATCTTTCCTTTCCGCAGTTTAATAAACGCAGACTTAGTTCAACATCGAGGATTTAAACCAGTTTCTCCCGACACAGAAATCACATCCATCTTTCTGCCAAAGGGGATTTCTGTCCCCTGACATGTGCCAGTTACCACCTAAGGGCTACATTTGCATCATGTGAGGCTTTCTGGTCGTTCCCCTCTGACCCTCCCCCCACCTCCTCCCATCGGAGGAGGAACCTGCTCCGAGGGGTTGACGTCTCTGTGACCAGGAATAGATTTTAAGGCCCACGAGCAAAGTGAGACATCAATCATGTAATCTGGGTAATCTCTTCTTTAATTCTGCGAGTTTGGATGTTTTGGGGGGTGACATGTCCGCCGGCTGCGCTGATGTCAAAAACGGGAAATCTTCACTGGGGGGAATAAAACTTTATACTTAGCCATAATGCTGCAGCTTTAGGAAGTCAGTGTTTCTTCCATGAGATTTATACGAAAACATTAAATAAATCACTTATTTAAAATGCTCACATCCTCGTCACTCCGTCCAGATGTGGTATTGAATGGCATGTCCCTTTACCCCCCCCCTCCCCCCACTTACCCACCCATGAATGTGACATATTTGACCGATTTACCCTCAACACGTGGCGCTGGGACAACACAGCATGTCACCATTATTTATTTACCTTTAACACATCAGAGGAAAAAAAATATATCTACGCTTAAGTATGTAAATATATTGAATGACATGTTTATTTTCTTTTTGTATGATGCTTGCCGGCTGCAAAAACCTCCTGAGCGGTCAAACGTTCGCTCACAACTTGAGACGAGCGCTGTGCCGCAGTTAAGCCTCACGTTTCCTCTCGCTCCTCTTCTGTGAAATGTGTACATGCAAAAAAAAAAGCTGCTTTACAAAAAAAAAAAAAAAAAACGGTGTGAGAAGTTGTGACCTCACCCAGACGCACAGTCCGATCGCAGGTTTGCCACCATGAGTATTTTATGTTTCGTGGTCGGTTCATGGTGTTAATGTGTCTTCTCAGGCCACAGGACACGTGTGCACATTTCTAATTTGAACATTTTCCTCCATCCTGTCCCTCTCTTCCTGCTGATATAAGTGTTTTGTAAGACTTACATGGTTTGTATATGAGAAATGCATTGTAACTGCATAATTAAAAAAAAAACCTTTACAGTGTACAACAGCAGAAAAAACGCAAATGTCTTTCTTTTTTTTTTTTGTGGTCATTTATACAAAAAATAAATAAATAAATTGTGATGGAATATGATTCAACTGAGTCTCGTGCATTAACGTGCTGCCCCACGCTCGGGCTCCGTTGCGGGGATCGATAAATTGGATTTCTGACTCAGCGGTCTGTCGCCCGTCAGGCCGTCTCCGTGTTTCACCGCGGACCTGGGTCGTGTCAGGGAATCAGACTCACGGGGTCACATCGTGAGCAGCTCTCGTCCATTTCCTCCTCATTCGTGTGCTTCAGTTTCTTGTAACACATTCAGCAGAAGTACAAGGACAAACCTATTTGCTTCTCTTGTTGCCTTTGATTTTCTGGATCTCCTTGGAGCTCAGGATCAGCAGCCCGTTCTTAAAGCGCCCCACCTGACCTGAGGGGGTGGAGCCAGAGCCAGACGACACCTTCTTCTTGTCCCTGGGGACGAGATTATGTTCAGTTTGGGATGAAATGCTGGTGAACTTGGACAATGATGTCACTATACACTTCTAGACAGTTAATATAGACCAACATAGAAACTTTTCTTTGAGAGAAACAGTTTACTCACCTCTGATTATTCGGCTTCTTCTTTTTCTTCAAGTCCTACAGGGCAGGTAGACACGGTCAGAATCACAAACTTTACTATTATACATTTTAAATGATTTGGCAGAAACGCTGGTTTGAAATCATACTTCAGCATTTTCCTTGCAGATAAACCAGCTTCTCTTTATAAAAAGCTCTGCAGCACATCAACAGGCAGGTTAAGAACAGACACTGCTCTAATATGGAAAAGTGTATAAGAGCCTGGAGGTGGATTCTATCTGAGAGCGAACTTACCGGCTGAACTTCCTCTTTTGCTTTCTGCTTCTTTTCTTTAATCTGCTGCTGCATCAGCTTGTAGTTGACGTAGCCCTTCTTAGGAGGCTGATTAAGAAACAATAATTAAAACCGGTCACCCAGACAGCTCTGATACTGAAGTCAGAACTTCAGAGTAACAGTGATGAAGGGTCCTTACTCTGGCTCCGAGCATGATGGCTCTGTCCTTCTCAAAAACACGCTGCTGCTCCTTCTTATATCCGGTGATTCCAAACCGATGGACCTCCAGGCGAGCCTGATGCGCACAAACACAAATACAGTATATTAAGACATTTTCACGGGGATTACATGTGAGCAAGTTCCTCTACATATGAAATCACAAAATAAAAAGAACAAGAATTCAAATGAAGCTTTTTTACACTGCAAGACAGAACATGTACTGTTAGTGTTTATTTATAAACCATATAAACTTAAATGAGCTCATTCTCAATAAAAAAACTTTAAACTTTACATTTAAACATAAAAACAAAAAATCGTAGATTTGTACCTTTTCTAAATTGATCTCTTCGAGCTGGTCGCTTTGCTTCTTCTCCGGGATCTGAGGAGCCTTGAAGTGAGAACAGCACCGACCCAGAGGAGAGATAGAACGTGAAATGAATGAGTGGAAGTTTGTGGAAGCCTCATCTGTACTTTCATAATGAAGTACACAGAGAAACGCTTCAGTGGCTTTGACTTACAGGTGTTTTGTCCGAGGCCGGCGTCTGACTGGTCTTCAGTTTCTTTCTGGAATCTTGAAAAGTCACGACCTCCACCTGACTCACCTTCGGGGCGGTTGTGCCTGCGTGAGACAATAAACCAGTTAAAAAAAAAAAGGAAGGGGTTGAAATTAAGTATAGAAGATGACAAATTATCTGAGAACTCGTGGTATGATCCTTTAAATCAAAGAGGAGTGAGTGGAGAATTTTAAAAATGTGTTCCACAGCTTTCTGTGGTGCTGCCCACCTGTCTGAGGCTGCTGCTGCTGTTCAGTACCAGTATCTGTTGCTTGCTCATCTTTAGTGTCAAAGCAAATATCCTTCACTGCAGTGAACTCTTCCTCTTCCTCCTCCTCTTCCTCACGCCGGTTTCTTTTTTTCTTCCTCTGTGACTTGAGCTTCTTTTTTGATGCAGGTCCATAATCTGCAAGCATTGGTGTCAGATGTCAGAACTGATCTCTGCATTTAAACATAATCGAAAACAGAAAATCGAAATAATCAACGCGTGCATGTACAGTTACTGCACATGTGTATGTACAGTTACTGCAGATGTGTATGTATAGTTATTGCAGTTGTGCATGTATAGTTACAGCAGATGTGTATGTACAGTTACTGCACATGTGTATGTAGTTATTGCAGTTGTGCATGTATAGTTACTGCAGATGTGTATGTACAGTTACTGCACATGTGTATGTATAGTTACTGCACATGTGTATGTACAGTTACTGCAGATGTGTATGTACAGTTATTGCAGTTGTGTATGTATAGTTACTGCAGATGTGTATCAGTTGCTTCACATTGAGAGAAATAGAACCAGCAGCTCATATCTGTAACGTGATAACTTGAGGTAAAGTCCAGCTGTTCTTGAAATAGAACAGAAACAAACCCAGAAAGACAGAAGACATGATTCACAGTCCCACGGCTCCGTTAGCCTCCGTTAGCCACACAGCTAACTCACGTCACACTCACCGAACTCATACAAATTGTCCAACAACTGTTCGAGAAACTCTTGATCTTCGTCCTTTTCTCCGTTTGACTTCGAGTTCATTTTAAAACTAAGTGTACAAAATAAATAAACCCCGGTTTCACGACGACGCAGCTCAGAAACATCCGCGTTCACAGCGTCAACAAACCGTGGAGGCACGTGGGACTCCACTTCCGGGTTGGTCCTCCCAGCCCACCGTCCGTAAGGAAACGCTACGGAAGTGCCCGTGAGCACGCTTTTTTAAAAATATATATATAGAAGCCGGGACTGTTCACACGTTCGAGCCCGCAGAACGTCGCCGGACACGAGAAAGAGGAATGAAACATGGCGTCCAAATCCGGTTATTCGGTATGTTGTGTTTTCTTTCGGCTGTAGGCGGCTAAGCTAACTCTGCTAACTGGGCTGTGGCTCTTTGCACACTATGTATTTGACATTTCATGCAAACAGCTGAATGACAAACTCAGAGGTCGCAGGTTCTCACAGCTGTGATTCAGTGATACACCAGAAACATGTGCACACGAGATGACATGTCAAGTGAAAACTTAGGACATGTTTGCATACATGCAGTTACAGTTACATGTGCTCTGCATGTTTAATCTCTGCAGTGACACGTGTATTTAGGTGTTTTGTGGTTGCAGTGAGTTCGTGCATGTGTCTGACTCAGGGTGATGTTTCCTGTTGTGCAGCACAGAGACCCCATGCTGAAGAAAAGAGATGAATTCGAGGACATCCTGGAGGAGAGGAGGAACTCCAGTGACCTGAGATACGCTCTGAGGTGTTACACCCCGGTTCTCTACAAAGGACTCTCTCCCTGCTCAGCTGCTGCACTGAAGAACATGGTGCTCCGGTCCGATCAGCTGCGCTTTGTCATCGGCCAGGTAACGGAGACGGGGTGTGACAGGGGTTTGCGTTTCTGATTGATGCTTGGTTATGATTTTTGAAACGTGTCAGGTTCATGAAACCGTATTATTGTTATGACGCTGTTATGTGTCCTTTTGAATTGTAAAGGTTTGCCACGAGTCAGGCAGAGCTGTTGATGACATCCAGGAGGAGGCGTCGGCCATCTTGGAGGAGATGGCTCAGAGCCTGCAGCTCAGCACCGTTCGCTTCTTCGCCTTCACACTCAGCAAAGTCTTTAAAACCTTGTTCAGGAGCATCTGTGTCAACGAAGATGGAATCCAGAGGGTGAGCGTACACACGCACACACACACACACACACACACACACACACACGACCAAGATACAAGAACGACAAAGGTTGTAAACATCACTCAGATGACTGACACACAACTTGTTTTCAGCTCCAACAGGCCATTCAGGAGCACCCGGTCGTCCTGCTACCCAGTCACCGTAGCTACATGGACTTCCTGCTGATGTCATACATCCTGTACACCTATGACGTGGCTCTACCTGTCATCGCTGCTGGCATGGGTAAACACAAAGAACACGAGGGTTAATGCTGGGTTTATTAAGCACACACACACACACACGTGAGCATGAACATACAGGTGGCTTTGTTGAACGCAATAACGCACAACTATTTGCACATTGAATAAAAGGAACTTTCCCTGCAGATTTCATGGGAATGAAGTTTATCGGGGAGATGCTGCGGATGTCTGGAGCCTTCTTCATCCGACGGTCCTTCGGTGGCGACAAGCTGTACTGGGCCATCTTCTCGGAATATGTCAAGACCATGCTCAAGGTGAGGAAACCGTCTCTCCTGCAGTCTTCTTTTCTTTTCCAGGAGTAAAAACATTGTGCTGTGGTTCAGGAGTAATTAGTGAGGGCAGTAAGTAATCTGTTGTACTCGACGAACGTCTTTAAGTTCATTCATTATGGTCTTAACAAGTTTTTTTTTTTTTTTACTTCAGAGTGGATTTGCACCAGTTGAATTTTTCCTGGAAGGAACCAGAAGTCGAACGAGCAAATCTTTGACTCCAAAGTTAGGTAAGGAACAAAACAGCAACAGCAACAGTATAGTTAGTAGAGTCAAGTTCTGAAAATGTGGTTTCCATCCTTGTCTTCCTCCAGGTCTGATGAACATAGTGATGGATCCGTTCTTTAAAGGGGAAGTGTATGATGTCAGCTTAGTTCCAGTCAGTATCAGCTATGAGAGGATCTTAGAGGAGTCGCTCTATGCCAGAGAGCTGCTGGGTGTTCCCAAACCTAAAGAGTCCACTTCAGTGAGTCCCTTACACATGGCTTCTACAGAATGGATAGAAAGAAGTACTTCAATTTTGTGTTCAGATCATCAGAAGTTGTATTTCATACTGATTCCCTCTCTGTAGGGTCTGATTAAAGCCAGGAAGGTGCTCAGTGAAGACTACGGCAGTATCCATGTGTACTTTGGTCAACCTGTGTCGGTCAGAAGTTTATCCCAGGGCAAAATGGACCGCAGCCAGTTCAACCTCATACCGAGGTACGACATAAAGACGTTACACGTTTAAAAACATCAAAACATTCAACGACTCCTCCAAAACATAATTTTTGGGCAACAGAGTTGTTCCCAAAGTTTGTGGTCGCAATATTTTTCTTGACAGGATTCTGATGGAAACATGCACTTGACTGTGACCTTCCCATTTCCAGACACATCCCCAAGAGGCCCAGTGACGAGATCTCCAACTTGGTGAACGACTCGGCCTACAGTCTGGTTCGGGCTCAGGAGGAGAACATGGTCCTGAAGCCGTGGGTCCTTCTGGCCTCCCTGCTGCTCCAGAGCCACCATCAGAACCAGGCGACGGGGCAGAAACAGGGCACGGCACTGGACGAGCTGACTGAACAAGCCGTGTGGCTCAGGGATCTTTCACGACAGTATGGAGCCTTCCTCCACTGGCCTGGTACAGTATGAGTCCGACACCCTCTTCCCCCCCTTAGACAGATTCTTTGTGTTCTCGGCAACACTGAGACTCTGTTCTGATTTACAAAAGAGCTCCTGTGTCCCCTTCTTCATCTCTTCTTCATCCACTTCTCCCGTTCAGACCACGTGCCTCCATCAGAAGTCGTCTCCTCAAGTCTCTCCTTGCATCGAGCGCTGGTGAAAATCTCTGAGGGAAGAGTTCAGCTGGCGTTGGAACAAGGTTTGTATTTACTTATCGGATTGTTTTTGATCCTTGCGGCATCGTCACAGTGAGGCTGCGTTAGTCAAACAGTGAAATCAGAGAAAATGACACAACTCCAGCTTCTACTTTGATATTTATCAAATAAAAACAGTTTTTCCACATCCTGACTGTAAATTCTGTCTCGGTGCAGAAGGACAATCAGGCCCAGGGGAGCCTCACAGAGCCGCAACCCCAGAAGAGGAGCTCTTGAGCCAGGCAGTCACCGTACTCTCCTGCGCCTCCTACAGGAACCAGGCTCTGCACGTCTTTCTCCGACCGGCACTGCTCGCCTCGGCTGTCCACGCTGCCTCATCCAACAACAAACGTGAGACTGACGCTGCTGTTTACCTGCTCACATGTGGGATGGAGCTGAAGTAAAAAAAAAAAAAAGTTTTTAAATATTGTGTGTTTTTCAGAGGAGGTTTTCAACAGCTTCAGCTTCCTCAGAAACATGTTCTCCAACGAGTTCATCCTCTGCCCTGGAGCTACAGTGCAGGTACAGCATTCATACACTCAATGAATACTGTGGGAAATTAAACGGCTCCTCGTTGTGGCCTGTACAACATGTTTTCCGTTATTTTTCACTCTGTGTGTCTTGCAGGACTTTGAGGACGCCTGTTACCTTCTGGTGAAGACTGGAGCTCTGCAGGTTTCCCAGCAGGAGGTTCTGGTGACAGAGAGAGGACACAGAACGCTGGCCTTCCTCACCAGCATGCTCGACCCCTTCTTACAGGGATACCAGGTGAGGCAGACACACAGAGAATCGGTCTGGGCTTGGTTTAAGATCCTGAAGCTCGTGAGACTCGACCAGAGCAAAACATTTCTTTTATTTCAACAGCTTATCAGGCTTGATGGCTCTCTAGTGGATTAGAAATTTAGCTTGCTGGGTCTTATAGTTTTCATCGTGTCATCTGTGGAATCTTCAGGTTATTTGTGAACCATAAAACCTTAAATGTTAACGTGAGTTCTTTAAATCTGGTAGTTTTTCATTGAATGAGTCTTAGTTTTAATTTTGTAGCATCAGAACTGTCATTGGTGAAGGTTTGTGTGTGTGCTGACTGCCGATGTCCTCTAGAGGGTGCTGTCAACTCAGCCTTAACCCTACAGCTGTCTCTCTCTGTGTGTGTCTGTGTGTGTGTGTGTGTGTGTGTGTGTCTGTGTGTGTGTGTGTGTGTTGTCTCAGGTGGTGTGTAGGTTCCTGTGTGAAGAGGCCACAGAGACTCTGACAGAGAAACAGTTTGTTCCTGCCGTCAGAAAGTTCATCCTCAAACATCTTCTTGCAGGTTTGTCTCATTTTATCACCTCTTGTCTGTTTTCACCTCAACTGTCGACTAAATAAAACTTGTTGTGTGTGTGTGTGTGTGTGGTGTGTGTGTGGTGTGTATGTGTGTGTCTGTGTGTTATCCAGGGAGACTAAGATACCCTGAGGTGTTGTCCTCTGACCTCCAGAAGAACTCTCTGGCAGCTTTGCTAAGACTCGGAGCTGTACGGAAAATCAAAGGGTATGTTGGTTTTCATCACATCTGATAGATATCACTGAACGTTGAGCCACTGAAGAGCGAGCCTCATTAAACTATTGATCTGTCGTGGAAAAGAAAGCAGCAGTCTCGTTGTAGATCAGTGTTTTTAATTTACGTATCTAGTCAGAAATCAGATGAGGTTTAGAATCGGAACGTTTCAAGAAAAGCTGTATAACTTTAACTTTCTTGAAAGCGTTGTTAAAGTTACCTGAACTACTTTCTATCAAAGAAATGATCCTTTCTTTGGATGTGCAGCGAGTGTTTTGGGTTATATAAGCGACTTCACTGTTTTTACTTCAGAGCGGAGCCGGGAGCTCTAAAGGTCAACGCGGTGATGGTGAACTCATTGGAAGACACTCTAGGTGAGAAACGAGCTGTTGGTGCCTGACACCCGACAAGAATACAAAGAGTTTTGGATTCTACCAAGTTCTGTAAAAAAACAAATTCATCTGTTTGTCCAGGAGGGAAACTTCCGACTCAGAAAGCCGTCGCCGCTCGCCTTTGATTCAGCGACCTCATTAGCCAAAGGAGATTCAGAAGGTCACGTCCTCTCACCCTGCACCGACGCCTCGGCCCCGTCTGCATCGTCACCGCACGAGTCGACGCGGCTCCTCAGAAAGTCCAACCCAACCGCTCGCTATGAAAGGTGGAACAAAAGCCATGGGGAGACGACTCAACCCCTTTTTATTTTTCCTTTTCTTTAATTTCTCAACATCTTCTCCTCACCTCTCCTTTTTTCTTTTTTTTTTTCTCCCTCTCTCTTCTTTTGAAAATATTTTTATACGCGTACATAAAACCAGACGATGAGTCAGGCCTTTGAGGGTTCATTGCTTTTGGCTCATTGTGAATAACTAAGCAGCCTTGTGAAAAGCTTCTGAATGTGCCGGGCTCGTCTCAGGATCGTGGCCGGTTTCCATTAACGCATCGGATACGCATCCTTGTGATAATCAGAGTGGCTTTTCTCCTCTGTGGTGTTCTCCGTCCTCTCTCTCCGCTGCAGCTCGTCTGTTTGTTAATCACCGTCTCTCTTTATTTTGAGCACTTTAACGATTTAATTCATGCGATGTGGTGTGGGGCTTTTATACTAAATGTCTTTCGCTACTCTTTTCTTCTTTTCCCCTCATTTTTTGGCGTGTGTGTGACACAAAAGGTGCTAAAATGGATGAATACCAACATTTTAATTCAAGTTATATATTGGAGTTGTACAAACTAAAGGCTGTTTGGTTGTTGCAGGCCTTTTGCCAACAGCTGCATAGGGAGGCAGTAAATCCGTGTTTGTTACGCTGCAGAGTCTCATGTTACATATTGTTGCCAAACTTTAATTTATACTGAAGCACTACCAGCTACACCAAAGGAATATGTTTTCGTTAGATATGATATTTTGGTTTTCTTTATCTGTTTTCACATGTCTTTACTGAACCTGTGTACTGAGGGGTTTTTTTTTTCTTTAAAGCCACAATAAGTTTAGAAGTTGGTTGATATTGAACCTTTATTTATACTCGCAGAAACTCTCCGGGCTTCATATAAGTTTGTTTACGAGGGAGGGAAGATGAGACAAAATAAATGAAAGCAGGCGCGGTGGCTGTGACACCGACACTCAGAGGAACAAAGCTCATAAAAGCAGAAGAACAACACGTCAGGACTTTATGTACAAGGAGTTTGACAAGTACTGGGCCAGTGGGTGGTTCTTGTTTTAAGCCTCAGGATTAACTGATGTTCAGAAGTGTGTAGTTTTATAGCAAATGTTTCCAAATTAAAACGAGAGACGTTTAAAATTCCTTATATTTGAAGCTATTTATTCGGTGGCTGTGACCAGCAGCGCAATTCTATGAAATCCCGTCAGCAGTAGATTGAGTTTGAGCTCTTGGTCATGGAGGAAATGATATGAGGACCTGCCACCAACTCCAGAAAACAGATGCACTCGCACCTGAGCTTTTTTGAAACGAGCCAACTTTGCCAATAAGGACTCGAGTGTCAAATCATAAATTACAAATCTTTTATAAAGCGCTACCTCCGTCTCCTTTGTCGCCAAAATTTGCTCGACGCTCGTGTGTTTTGCGACTGAAGCGCTGAGGTTCACTGGGTCAGAGCAGCCTAGTGTTGAAATGAATCAACGTTAATCTGCCTGTTAACACATCATCCAAAGTGTGACTCGATTCTTTAAACTGTGATAGTGGTTCAAATTGGTTTTCAAACAGCTTTTATATGATGCCTATGACTCCTTTGTGTCTTTGTACGTGTGTGTGTGTGTGTGTGTGTGTGCTTTCATGCATGTAACCATGTTAACGTGTGGGTGTGTGTGTGTGTGTGTTTGGTGAAGCCTTTCAGTACTGAACGTACAGCCTGATGCATTAAAGAGCAAATTAATAAAAGGTTTTGAAATACAAATCTTAATTGTGTGTAGTTTTGTGTTGACGACGAGACGGATTAAAATTCCCTCCATCGTCCTCAACAAGGACGAAACGGGGAGAAACTGTCTGTAAGTGTTAATTGGTTTAAAACATGAAGTGATCCTATCTAATCATTCTGTATAAACAAACATTAGAAGAAGTTCTGCACTTTACTTTTGACCTGTGCAGTTTACACAGCAGCTTTTCAACCTCTTCACTTTAGAAACCAGCATCATATTTATGAATGTAGGTTTCTCTCTCAGGAGACACAGCTCCAGACGTCCCTGTGGTGCAAACAAAATGATATACGTTTTATAATAAACAGCCTTTTCCAACGCAATGATTCTGTGGTGTTTCAAACCTGCGAGTTGCTTTAAAGAGGATCTGGAGCACAGGACAGTTTATCCACTCTAATAACCATCCGTCTTCCAACTCTCATCCATCCGTTATCTGAACACCTGCACAGGAACAACATACAAACACAGAGGACCGTTCACACTCACTCATCCACTGGGCTCCAATTAACCTTATACCGCACGACAGCTTCTCTTTCTGCATGACGCTGAAGCTAATTAAGACGCGTCTATCTTTCAAAGCTGACTGTCGCAGAAAAACCCCGGAACCACCTGGGAGAACGTGCACAGAACAGGCCCTGGCTGGAAGTTGGCTTGGAACAATGAAACCTTCCAGCAGTGAACTACAAAAATCAACCAAGGCGTCACGTTGCATGAAGCATTCCTGCAAAGCTCAGCTGGTGTTCTCTGACAGTGCAGGGAGACATCACTGCATGAAAATATCCTCTAGGTGTCAGACTTGCCTCTCGGAGACCTCAGTTCATGGCAAGTTGTTGCTGCACACACACACACACACACACACACACACACACACACACACACACTCATTTTTCATCATGTTTTGTGGCTCCTCTGCTGAGTAAGAGACTGCTGCCAGCAAATCCGCCACTTTCCATCCATATTGCCCTTTCTCTCACTCTCACTCAGCCGCTGACAAATAATAGCTTCATCTAAAGTTGCCACACCAAATTGCTTATACACACACACACTCAAGTCCATCCTCCCATCCTTCCATCCATCCACCCACTCGTTCCCTCTCTCTCTCTCTCTCTCTCTCTCTCCATCCATACCCGTGTCCCCGGTGGGGGAGTGTAATAGTGTCAGCTGCAGCCGTATCAGCACTTTATCAGCCACATTATGACGAGCTGTATTGAAGGCGGGGTCCACACACACACACACACACACACACACATATAGGAAGGCAGCACCTTTATGAAACTGGTGTCTGACCTGTGGCAGCCGCCGGGAAACAAAAACAGAGTCTTTGCTTTCGTCTGCTCTCTGTCATTTGGTTGTTTCTTATCAAGGCATTTCTGTGCACGTGTATGTGCAACAGTGGCCGGGTGTTGTGCCCTCAGGGGCCCGCGTTGGTCCATGTGCCGGGGATTGATCGAAAGAAAAAAAGGGACCCCGGTGTATAATGTTTCAGCCGCTCACCCTCGGTAATGGTGGCTTGATGGATTCAGTGCATTCACTCCGGCAGCTCCTGTTTATCAGGTCTGTGCAACGGAGGCCGAGACTTTAACAAAGAGGAGCAGCACTCGACGTGAAATCTGGGGAGCGTCGGGGGTTTCCCTGAGGAGAGTCCGTCCACGAGATCCCCGGCGAGGCGTGCATTTTAAAATTCTCCTCAATCAAACCGGCTGAAGGCCGAGCTGCAGCATTTTAGGATTCTCGTGGTGAAAAACATCTCGGCTCTCGAGCGTTCTCGCCTCCAACCACTCGTTTCATTCCTCACTGACAACTCAGAGAAGAAAAGGGTGTAAAAAAAAAAAAAAAAAACTTTCCAAGCCTCAGGAATCCAATATGATCCACAAGGCACACAAAAATTCAGCTGTGATTTCCAGCGGTTTGAGGCAAATTACACTCTCCAGCCTGAAATGCCTTTTAAGAAAGTCCCGGAGGAGCACGTTTGAAAGAAAAATGGACTCGAACCACTCAGCTTTTGTTTTTTCTTCTCCTCTGCTCGTTTCCCCACCGGTCACTGAAGTCCTCGTATCATTAATCCCCAGTGTAACCACTTGATATTTCATGCCGAGTAATGGCCGGGCAAAATGAAAAATGTTTCATAAGATGACTGTTATTATATGTAATGGATATTTTTGTAGGGAGAGTGCAGCGGTTATCATCTCAGTACGTCTGTGGAGAGTGATTTTATGTTGTGAAGGGAGGAAAGTACTGCAGCGAAGGACAATTTTGAAGTACTTGTACTCGAGTGTTTTGCTTGTTCCTCTGCAGTTCAAGGGGAAATGTACATGATTTTCATCTTCACTACTTTTCTTTAATAGCCGTCATTAGCATTTACATTTAGATTCTGACGTTAAAAACATCCTGAACTTTTAAAATGCAGTGGTTCAAGGTTCAAGGTCTTCGGTTTGTCAACATCTGTAAAGAGGCAGATGCAGTGTTTGTGACACAATGACTAAATCAAATCAAACTATTCAAGATTTAACAAACTGTGTTGTTTTGGATGGAGCAACGACTTCTAGTCTGAACGCCACCTGATGCTAACACACACACACACACACACTGCTGTATCTTCATGCTCTGCTTTACGACAGGAGGATATTTTACTCTGTGTTTGTAGGAAAATGTTCCCAAAACTTTTTGACTGCTTTTATTTTACACCTTATATTGATTAGTCGCATTAAAACACATCTGATAACAACATCTGCGCCGTAACGTGGTCATTTGCATCTGTGATATATTCAGCATTTGCCTTCGTCTGAGTAAAGCTCTGGTCACACACGAGACAGTGGGAGCAAACATCGAGAGACATAATTACAATATTGGTTTTCAACAATTATTGTTCGTTTATTTTTCTATCGTGCAGCAAAGATTCGCTCTTCTGAGATCAGTGATTAGTGGCGAGTGAGCACATTTGCATTTTTAACTATATTTGCATTTTTAACTATATTTGCATTTTTAACTATATTTGCATAATGCAGAAATGCATGGATCTAATATACTGAGCTAATGTCTGCAATTAGACAGAATGTGATTTACCCTTGTGAGCAAAGCATTTGGTTTAAATTTAAGCACAAGAGACACACACACACACACACACACACACACACACACACATATGTATACACACAACGATTACTCTCAGTCTTGCGGGATTCCACGAGCTGCCAGTTCTTGACAACAAGATAAATAATAAACCTCTGATGGATGCTGCCGTGAAGTGAAAGCTCAGGGAAGATTTAATAAAATCCAATGGAATCTAAGTGAAGTGGCATGAGTGTGTGTGTGTGTGTGTGTGTGTGTGCACGTGCGTTTGTAGTGGAACTTCCTTTGTAGATCAAAGATTATTTGAATCAAGATTTTGGAACCTGAGATTTCCCCTCACTGAGCGGAGAGCAGCTTCAGTAAACACAGCTGACAGACGTCTGTTCTCTCCTCGCTCTGTGTCTGTTCTACAAAATACTCTTCAAATCATTTGACATTCAGTGGAAGACCCGAGTGTTTACAACCTGTTTATACACGTCCACATCTTTGTTACTCTTCATTTTAAGGTATTTAACGAATAGTTTGACCTTTGGGGGAAAATACTTTATACTTGCTTGACTTCTGGCTAATATCTGTTTGCGTGCTTCAGTTTTGGTGCTAAGCTAACTTGAGAAAATGATTGTAAACGATGAAGGGTTTGTCAGATTCTGTGTTTACGTGACACAGTCGTCAACTTTTCATTCTGTTGATAACAGCGTTTATTACGTGATACTACGATACTGAGAGGGCGAGATGAGCCAAGTGAACTCCTGCCCAGTGCATTTATAATGAAGAGATTCTGATATAGCAGGAGAAGTGCTGTTGATAATCCACTGAGAATCTGGAAGCTTCCAGGCATAACGTGGTAAAGTCAGTAAAAAGCCTCTCGTCGAGCTTGTTGAACATCCCGTCTCTCGGCAGACCGAGGCTCAGACACAGAAACCAAAGCCAGCTGAACTTCTGCAGTCCTCCGTGGGGCCCTTTAAGACGGTGAAAGGTAAATTTGGATCTAATTAAAATGACAAGATGGGTAAATGTCCTCGCTCTCCTCAGCCTGAGTGCTCTCCAGGGCCAAAATAACTTTCATAATTAGGACGGAATTGATCGTCGACTGTGAAGCTGTGAGGACGACAGAGCAGAGCAGCTCGTGAATGCATCGAGTCACTTAGCAGGATTTTATTTCATCCAGTGCGAAGCACACATGACAGAAAAGTGAAGGAAAAGTGAACTGAGGTTCCACTTTTGACCTTGTATCAACAAACGAGGCATTAACTTAACTGAGAATGAAGGGATAGTACCGAATACCAGACAAACAGGGATGAGAGAACTAGCATTTAGCAGCTAAGTCAAGATACTTCACTCGTGAGTTGGTGGAAACCGAAAACAGCCGAAAGAAGTTGACAATAACACAATTTCTATTTGGGGGAGGGAATATTTCAATCCGGCTACAGCTGCCCGCCAAGTGGCCGACGAGGTTCAAGGACGTCTTGTTGATGTAAAAAATAACGGCTAATACAAGAAGTTTAAAAGGTTTTTAAAGTAATCGGACAATCGCACACTGACTTGAGAGGAGGCGCTTTCATTTCCCACATTTCTCAGAAACGTGTGAGATGGCACTTAGCGGAGCCGGAGCGCGAGTCTCTGCCGGCTCTGTGCACCTGTCAGCACGCGCTGTCAAGATGTGTCGGAACCTCAGATTGGATTTTTCCACAAATTGTAATAATTTGCTCTCCTCCTCATTACGAGCTCGTTTCACAACAGGAGGTCACGACTGCAGCTGAAATGTGACGAGCGACCAAACACTTTTAATCATTTCAGCCAATCAGCTCCTATTTGTACCAATGAGATCTGCACCTTTTTCTCTTGTTTTTTTTTTTTCCAATCAGCTCTGTAAAGTGTGCAGAGACACATTCTCCTCCGAAGC